TAAATGGCAGCTTAAAAATTTTAAGTTTAATAACTTTTTTACTGTGCAGCATTAATAATTATTTTTTATATTCGCTTCCGTTGCATTAAAGTTTTTGCTATGAAGCTAGAATTATAATGATCATTAAAAAAGTGCAATAAAATAGCAAGCGTGCGTTACTGTATAAGAGTACTGTATAAGAGTGCAAATTGCAGACGAATTGATGTCCACAGTCCTATACAAAGCAGCTTTGATCATTTTTGATGCGTAGTCAATGGGAAAGTCGGAATACCCTTTGAGTGCACTGGCTCTATGCCAACTCCCATGCTGCAAATAAACAACAAAGTCACTGAAATTTAATTTCCAAGCAACAATAACACAACAACAGCAACAACAACAACAGCAACGACAGCGGGCGACAATACAACAGCAACAAGAATGGCATTTGGCAACATGTTCATGTTGCTGCTCTTAGATACATGACAGCAACAGTGGCTCTCCTTCTCTTTGCCCCCGCTGCCAGTTGTCAACCGTCTCCTGCCCCGGTCCCGCCCACCGCAATGCTCGCTGCAGTAGCCGAAAAGTTGCCTTATCACTTGGGCGCATTTACATAAAAAAACCACAAATAAAAGTTGCCAACTAACGCAGCAAGAAGCGAACTGAGCAAAGAAAATAACTGCGAGTGTATGGGTGTGTGTTTGTGTGTGTGTGTGTGAGAGTGGCTATATGAGTGCCGTCTTCATCTGTTTCACCTCTCCCCGCCCGCTCTTTAGCTTTTTTGGCTTAAGCTGGAGAGAGCCAGCGACGGCGACGGCAACGGCGACGCGCTGCTTAAGCATTAAAAACTTTTCACATTAAAGCACATTACAACAACAAATCATAGAAAGCTACACACACACACCCAGGCACACCAACACGCATGCAACACATTTAGATAATATGCTACAACTGCTGCGGCGCAAACAAATGACAATAAGAGAGCACTGGAATGGGCAGAGCGTAGATTTTGTATAAGAGTGCGGGAGAGCAGTGGACTGGGTAGCGTAGACTTTGTAAATGAGCGGGAGGGAGGGAGACAGCAGCGGGACGCTCAGTGTGGATCTTGTATAGGAGCAAGAGGGAGGGGCAACTCATGTGAGTTGTAAAAAGCTTTGGCAACAATGTCGCCTGAATGTCGCGCATTGTTTCCAGGCCGCTGCCTTGCGACACTAGCAAAGAGCCAGCTCACTCTCAGTGTCAGCCAAACTTTTATATATAAATACATACATACATACATATATATGAATATATATATATTCTTTTTTTAAGCACATTTGCGCACTTTCCTTACTTATGGCGTACTTTTAAGCGCGAAAGCGCATTAGCCAGGCAATGCATGAAATTAAATTATATATTGCGCGCGCTCGTTGATGGCCGAACGAGCGACCCTTGGCCCAACCCCTTGTTGAATGCACAAAATGGCGGCCATATTCATTAGACAGAATGCGCGCCCACAATATGACCGAAAACACTTTCAGTTATGATGACCAGGGCTGGCAACTGACCAAAGACAATAGACAATTGAACGAGTTCTTCTCCATACAAAATAAATAGTTGAATTCCTATCAAATTAATACAAGCTTGTTGGCAAATATTTTGAAACAACATTTGTAAACTCGTTCAAATAGTTTGCCAGCCCTGGCTAATAACACTTGATGAAATGACCTAAAAAAAAAAAAGAGGAAAAAGAAAACACACAGAAACTAAACGCGTTGACAGCCCAGGACAAGGATGTCAGCGTCCTGCTTCAAAACTTGTTCTGTCGTTAAGTGTGAAACTTATTTCGCACATGATGGAACCATGCCAACTACTGCTCTCCTTCCCACTGTCTCTCTCTCGCTCTCACTCCATCTCCTGCTGTCTCGTTCACACGCGCGACAAATTGCAAAAGAAATCAGCAACAAAAGTTTTCAGTTTTTGTTTCTCAAAAATCAAAATAGCTAAAAAGTAGCGACAAGTGTTAAGAACGTCAAGGGAGAAGGCAAAGGGCGACCCGCTGCGGCGCTACAAAAAACTTTCTGCCCAGAAAAAGGACACAGGCAGGTGCGGGGGCGTGCCAGGGCGAGGTTGCAAAGTAAGCCAAGCGTCAATGATGCCAAAACAAGGCGACAAAGTGCTCGGCCAATCTTAAAATAAACTGCAGCTGCGCGTAAAAAGTGACAAGTTTTGTGGACGACGAAAAGGAGACAGAAAAAGAACGAAAGAGAGAGAAAGAGTGGAAGAGTGAGAGAGTGTAGAGAGTAGAGGAGAATACACCCGCGGGCTATACGAATTGTGGAACATGTGTCCCTTCACTTATTGGCAGCTTGGCGACGGACATTGCACAGCACGTGACATATTTTGAAACTGCGACAATTTTCCTTCTACGGTCTTTGGCTTTAAGTAAACAGAACTCGAGCCAAGAGAACTTGAAAGGACGCCGGAGAGAGCCGAATAAGGTCCGGAATTTGTGTTGACAGCCATGTGGCTCACATTTGACAGAGTCGGTAGAAAAGTGTCCAAAACTAAATAATACATAGATCATATATGGAACGGGGACGTTAACTGGGGCGGGAATGGTGATGGGGGTGGGGAGGAGTAACGGTTTGAAACCCATTTTACAGACAAGTTCAATTCATAGTTTATGAATAGTATGCAAGAAATATAGAATAAATATTCTAGGAGAGTCGAAGATATAGAGAGGGGAGGATTACGTGGTATAGAGAGAATGGGAGGGACCCACAGAAAAATCGAAAACGAAAGTGTAAGAGACAAAGGACAGGCAAAGGAAGCCATAGAGAGGGAGACAAAGAGCGACAGAGGAGCCAAAAGAAAGAAAGACACAGATGGTGGAAAGAAAGAGAGACAGCAAGAGCGAGAGAGCGAAAATTATATAGTGACCGAGTGAGGAAGAGAAACAGAAAAGTAAAACCTGATTAGGAATTGAAAAGGGGGGGACAAAAGTAAGGACAAAGACAAACAGTGACAGATAGATAAATAGGCTTCTATACCAATGTAATCATAATTTGATAAGACATTAAAAACCTCGCTCTGAGTGTAAAAATCAAGATGGCTTCAGTACTCCACTGCGCTTGAGGAACTTTTTATTTCTTTCAAAATAAACTTAATTATACACTCTCATATTTCATAAATATATAACAGTGGTTCCACAGACAGACCGAAATGCTCTGTTAAACCCTTAGCCTTCAAGATAATTTGCTAATAATTGTTTTCACCCTTCGACAGACTTCAACAAATGCAGCTAAAGAAGCTGTTAGCATATGAATCTCCATTTCCATTTCCATTCGCATTCGCATTCGCATTTCCATTTTCATTTGCATTTGCATTTCCATTCCCCAGCTCCATCTGTGATAGAGTATCATGTGATAGGGTATCATTACTTATCAGCTTGTAACCGCTTGGCTGACCCGCTCGCCCGAACCAGACTTTTGGTTAAGCTCTCTGCTCTGCTCTGCGCTCTGTTGATAATAAATGGGACAGCTGCAGCTGGAGTGGCAGGAGCGGCAGGAGTGGCGCCAGCAGCAGCTCCTTGCGCTCTTGGCATGTAGATACTCTCATTTTTAACTGCTTGCCATTTGCCAACTGCAGCGCGTCATTTAAACTTTTCTCATTTGCTGGCAGCGCAGCAGCGCTGTAGCAGCAGCAGCAAAACTTTACGCCACGCCACGCCCCATCCCTGACGCCCTCTCGATTGTGTGGCCAAAGATAAGATGCTGGCCAGAGCACATGGGATTCGCCTGGCTCATCTTTGTTTGGCCAAACATTTTTAATATGCGACTAATTTGCAGGCCTTTGCTGGCTGCCTGACAGGACATTCGACGCATTGCGGCAAGGACGCAGCCGCAGCCGCAGCCGCAGTCGTAGCAGGAGTCGGAGCAAGAGCAGGAGCCGGACGCATGCAACTGCAAAAGCTTTCGCTGCGGCATTTCAGCTTCGAGTTTTGAGTCCCGTGACAACGGCTATTGTTTAAATTCAATTCCCGCCTTTGTCGTCTCAACTACTTTGAAAAGTTTCACCGGCATGCAGGAGCAGCCAGGTGCCTCCCGCCTCCCGACTCCTGCTGCTGCTGCTCTCTAGTCCCAGCTGGAGCTGCTCCTCCCCAGCTGCCTAAATCTGGCTGCTATTGCTTCGGCTGCTGTTTGACTTTCAGTCTCGAATGATTTACCTTACAAGATAAACAGACGCTGCCAGCAGCAGCAGCGCTGTCGCGTCGCAGCTGCTGCGCTGCGTTTCGCTTCTCTTTTTGTTTTTTTGCTCGTCTGAGCAGCACAAGTTTGACTTTTGTCTTTTGTATGCAACGCGCCGGTGTCTGAGCCATAGGATAATGCGCTTCAAATTGTGGCCTCTCTCTCTCTCTCACACACACACTCCGTCTGTCTCTCTCTGTCGCTCTTCCCCATTTCAGCTTCACATTGTGCTTGGCAATGCAATTTAAACTCTTTGATAACTCCGAAAAGTGCATTTGGCTGACGCTGCGTCGACGCCTCTTTGCCAGCCACGCCCCCTCTCGCTGTGAGCCACTGGCCGCGTTATCAGCGGCAAAGCGAAAAGACAAAGAGGGAGTCGGCCCGAAGACACATGAAAATACAATAGCCAAAGTTTGATATGAAACTGCAACGCAGCCCGCGTCGCGTATTGCAAAACTTTTCAATTGTAATTTTTTTTCTTTACTTTTACTTTGTTTTTTATACTTTTTTGTTTTCTCTTCAGATGTTTTTTTTTTCGCGCTGCGCTTTCTGATTGCGAGCTGAGCTCTGAACGCCGCCGATAAATCGCGCGAGCATTTGCATTGTGCCCCAAAAGAAAATCTGAAAACTCAAAAACTATTGCAACCACAAGACGAGCTGAGGAGCAGCTGAAGCAGGAGGCGACAACACCGGCTGGAATGCATAGAATTTATGGGCACTTCCTTAAGCCCTTCTCTGGGTACCCCCACAAGTACGGCCAGGGGATAAGCTACAGCTACAGCGGGCTACAGCAAGTAATTTTTAATACGAATTTAAAATCAAACTCTAATATGTATATGTCCTCCTGACTGTCAGCTGGTGATCAGGTAAATGGCAATGGCCACAGACACGTGCCACTGGAAGCAACTGGAACGTAGGGCCTCAACTCCATTGAAATGCATGTAAATGCCCCCGTTTATCCATTTTCTAAACATATATATATCGGTGAACAGCATATACTCGTTGCTGGCACTTCCGAGGAAGACACCCGCAAGTGTATCGTTGCATTTCAACGGGCCACCTAGATCGAACCTGTTTGTTTTAGCGGCTCGCGCCAAGTCGTAGGTGCACATCACACCCACAACAAGAGCGCGCTTAAAGCACTCCATTTTGCTGGAAATCCGTCTTAATGCGACGTGGGGAGCGTCACGCAACACAGCAACCTAAAGTGAGGAGAGGTAATCGATTAGTTATCGATATAGAAATACTCACATAATGTTAGTTATCGGTATTCAAGTAACTAATGTATAGATAGATTAATGTATAGATATCGACAAACAAAGAAACCAGTTTACAATTCGTTATCGATACTCAAATAGCTAAAGTTATCGATACACTAGCAGTTAATATACGGCTTTATAGAATACAATTATCGATTGGCTTACAGTAGTATCTGCACCCCAGCCGCAAAATGAGCATCGGGTATTCGGCTGAAATACTTCCATAGTGATAGGTAGATATGCAATAGCTCCTTTAACGGGCATTATATCTTCAGAAGTAAAGACCAATCCAATATTGTAAGCCAGTTCGTTATGCTTATATAAGCCATGCCATCGCCAACTTGCGATTTTCAGCACCCTCATTGTTGAGCTTAAGCCTCTCGTGTTCGTATTCCCTATTACAGCCACCATATCCTCTCGTGTTTGTCTGCAGAACATAATTTCAGTATAACAGCAAATTGGTTCACTCAGGTATACCCACCTATATATACAGAAAGCGGATGTGATAAGCACACGATTCTTGATAACAGCTGCTGCGCAAATGTATCCACTGCCAACTGCCACAGATTCATTTTGGAGTTTACGCAGCGAGCCCATATAGGGAACATCCTCAATACTGGCATCTTCCCCTCTAGAAATTCGAGGTTCTCTGCCGGCTTTGACTTTGAAAAGTAAACGAGGGTAAAAGTGTAAATAGATATGCATGAATACTATCTATAGAGCATGCTTGCATACGTCTATCGGCGGGGTTTTGGGTATTTCCTAGTCGCGGAACCCTCACATTACTATTCTTATGGCTTACCTCCATTCATCAACAAAAACAGGCATAAGCTAAAACGAATGAACAAAATCACAAGTGCGGCCATGATATTTGTTTTATGAAGACAGGAAAACAGAAATTTGGAAAATTTAAATAGCTTTAAAATAAAATAAAAACCTCTAACGAAAGTTATTGGCAGAAGGGATTTCAAATTTTGACACAATCAAATTTATATGACTCGAAATGCAAAGTTTGGTAACCTAGGCCGAAAG